CTGGCCTGAGGCTGAGCAAAGCTGGCTCTGTGGAAAACAGAGTCAATTTGAGGTCAATTCTTTCTAAGTAGCTGGAGGACAAGATGTCAGCCCTGTCCCCTGGAGGTTTGGGGGCTCTTCCTGTCTGCAGCTGGTGTGTTCAAGGTGTGGGCCTCCCCTCAGCCACACGAGGCTGTGTGACCTTGGGCAAGTTGCTTGACTCCTCTGAGTCCGTTTCCTCATCTTTAAAATGGGGATAACAATACCTATCTCAGGGGGCGTTATGAGAATTAAAGGAGATGAGTATAACGTGCTCAGCAAATCCCAACACAGGTGATCAAAGGTGAGCCCCTGTGATCAGCTTCGTGGCCCTGTCCCTCTGCCCTGAAGAAAGACAGCCCTTCCCTCCTGCTGCAGGGTTTCTGAGCTGGAGGGGGCCTAGGCACATGGGAATCTCCTCAGGATAAGTGAAGAAAGAGAGGTCCACGGAGGAATGGGACCTGACCAAGAGCACGCCGTAGGGACATGGCTCAGTGGGGACAAGGACCTGGGATCTGATGGCCCCGACCACGGTTTCAATCCTGAGGCCTGGAGTCTTTCAGACTCGCAGCATTCTCCCTCCAGGTGCGTTTGCCTTCTTACCCAGGGCAGCACAGTGGCTGGAGGGCTCCCGCCTGGGGACAGGCTCAGGCCCAGGTCATTTTCCTGTCCTACACGATCTCCGCCACCCTGGAGCCAGGGGCTTCCTCCCCCCCCACCCCCCCCCCCCCCCGTCTCTGACAATGACCCCCGTGTCCACAAGGCTCTGCTTGTGACAATAAGCAACATCCTCCTGCCACATAATTATAATTCCAGCTGGGCTATATATACATATACATACCCCGCCCCCCCATAACACATGTGTGCATGCGTAGCTCTGGATGGCGTGGGACGTGCACTACCGTCCCCAACACTGTGTTCTTGCGTGTCCTCCCAAGGACAGGCTGCCCTGGACGTTGATCTGACCTGAGTCTCAGATACAACCAATGGGATGCTTTCTCTCTCCTCAGGGCAAAGCCCTGTGAACCCTTGGCCCACTCCTTTCTGGCTCTTTTGTTGAAACTGACCACTCTCCACTGCCCCCCAAACCCGAATCCTGGCTTCTCCTTTTTTCTAAAAAGGGAAGTTCTCTGGGGTGTGTGAGGGTTTGGGATTGAGCAATGCCCCTCCTCCCACTGTTTCTGAACCCCAGTTCTCTCTGTGCCCTCCACACGGCCAACCACCGCCCCCCCCCCCCCCCTCCCCCCGCCCCTGCCCGTGGGATTTCAAGGAAATTGCCTCTAGGGCTGAAAAGGAACTGATATAGGCAATTCTGTGGTCATTCACACCACTGCTTGGACCCTGAGGGCCCTGGGCCCAATGCCCCCATTGGAGGACTTGCTGCTTGCTCCTACCCTGCTCCACCCCACCCACCCCAAGCTGGCTCCGCCTTGTCTACAGTTCAGCCCACCCCATCCACGCCCCTGTCCCCTTAGCAGTCCCCACCTGGCTCAGCTTCGTGCTCCACTTCTTGCTTCCACCTCTACTCTGCCTGTCCCCTGCCTCCCCTTCAGATGTGCCGACCAACATCTCCTGAGCTGCCCTCCTGAGAGCCCCCAGGTGTGGGCACCCCTGCAAATGCTGCTGGATCTGGATTCAGCTCCCTGCCCTGGGGTAGCTCTGGGGCTGGCAGTGATGTTGGGAAGAGGGAACAGGGGGCGCCACCTGGGAGAGGTGCTGGTGGGAGCTGCCAGGTGGCTGCTGGGGACAGGGTGTGCATGGGGCAGAGGTAACTCCAGGGTCTACTCTGTGGGTAGGTTTTTGTTCTTCCTGGGAGCACCTGGGGGCATCCTTTCCCTAGCCACTCCCCACCTCCATTCACCGGCACAGCCGGAGTTCTGAGGCCACGCCCACTCTGCCTGGGCCTGTGAGGGGGGCCCAGGCTGGCAGGGATACAGTCAGGGGCACAGCCTGGGAACTTCTGCTGGGGCCGTGGGTGGGTCACCTCCTCTCAAAGATTGAGGGTCACATTTGTAGGGTGATGGGCTTGAGCAGTAGAGTCCCTCACTGGCCAGACCAAGGAGCCATTCTCGTGGGTCACAAACTCAAATGTCATGGGGCCAAGCAAATACGGTGAGAGAGTGAAGCAGGCCAGGCACAGGCGTTAGGGAGTAGTGAGGACTGTGGCAAACTGGGATGCCAATGGACAGTCTAAATGAGAGGCTGCTACTCGGCTCTAGCCGATAATAGGAAAACTGGTTTTGTGTTAATTTTTCTGATTTTCAAAGACACTAAGGGTCAGAATTTTCATATCACATTCCTGGTTTTTAAATGTTGGCGATTTCAAACAAAGGCAAAATGCTTTGAGGGTCAAGTAAAATGTGTCTGAAGGCTAGATGTGGCAATGGGCTGCCAGTTTCTGAATCCGCCCCTCATGTCCCCCCTCTCCCACCCTTCAGAATAGTGTCTAATTGCCTGCATTTAATTCTGGCTCTTGCACTTATTGGCTGTGTGATCTTCAGTGGGTTATTTACTATCTCTGTGCCTCAGTTTCCTTACCAGCGAAACAGGAAAAAACCCCCAATATCCACATTATAGGGTTGCTAGACATGCCTATAAAGCACCCAGCATGGCGCGCGATACAGTCTATTTCTTCTTCTTCTAGTTCTAACTAGAGCCTGCTCTACCTGAAGCCCCCCTGCTCCAGGTTCTGAGTGCGTATCCCCCGGCACTTCAGGCAAACCACCTTCCCTTTCTGGGCGCCTATATTTCTGCCTGAAAAGGAGGCCAGCATTTTGCCACAGAAGTTCTGAACTCTCTGCTCCCCTCAGCAGCGACTGTCTTTAAATCCCGTCTCCCAGACCTGGCTCCCTCACTCGTGGGTGGCGACTGGGAGGTCTAGTGTGTTCTGTCTTCCTTATCTGCTGGGGCCTAGCACTCTACCCCTGCAGACATACTCCCCGGGGCCCCGGCGTGGCTGCCTCCCCACCCCCTGCTGTCACTGTGCAGCGTTCCAAGGCTGGACCACAAGCTGTCTCAGTCGCTCACACCTCCGAGGAAAAGGCTTGGAAGCTGGCTCGCCCACTCGATTGTGGGGAACTATTCTTCACCCCCAGGAACTGCTCCTTCAACTGCCGAAATGAATGCGCGGCCCCTCGAGCTCCCATGCATCAAGCACCCCACCCCCAGCAAGGCACTTTCGGGCACTTCACGTAAATTACTTGCCATCCTCGCCTCAGGTAGATGTTTTCATTTTTGTTTCACAAGGAGGAGTCCAAGGCTCAGAGTCTAAGGAACTCACAGACACTGGGCTCCAAGGCAGGCTGGTCTAATTCCAAAGGCACAACAGGCTGCTTCCCTCCTGACTGGGCACGGCTTTCGGATCAGCAGGCGGGTCCCGGGCTCTAAGGCCGGGGAGGGCGTCTGAAGGACGTGGTGTTTCCTTGGGTCCAGGCAATGGCAAGGCAAGGACATACCCATTTGGATTCTGAACATATTTCCGAACTCTCCTCCTCGTCTGCCTGACCTACAACTGCCCCTGAGACGCCAATTAAAGTGAAAGAATCACCAATGTCTAAGAACACAGCTGCCCTCCCTATGTCTGCAGGGGACACGGGAGCTCATGTCTTGTGTTCTCAGCTTTCCCTCCTCCAGTCCTTGCACAACCGCGTGTTGTAGGTACTGTTTTTCTCATTGCACACACGAGGAAACAGAGGCTCACACAGCTACACGGAGGGGCCAGGGCCCAGCCCTGGCATTCTGTTTTCAAGGGCCAGTGCTTTCCACAAATGCTGAAGGGGTGGAGTAAGGCAGTGATGGCGAACCTTTTGAGCTCGGCGTGTCAGCATTTTGAAAAACCCTAACTTAACTCTGGTGCCGTATCACATATAGAAATTTTTTGATATTTGCAACCATAGTAAAACAAAGATTTATGTTTTTGATATTTATTTTATATATTTAAATGCCATTTAACAAAGAAAAGTCAACCAAAAAAAATGAGTTCGCGTGTCACCTCTGACACGCGTGTCATAGGTTCGCCATCACTGGAGTAAGGTAACGAGGACCAGGGGTTACATCCCTGGCTTATTGAGAACAAAATGAACTAGAACAGATTTCTAAGAAGACGGGGTAGCAGGCAGGGACGTGGATGAGATGCCCCTCCATGCACTCCTGGTCTCTGTCCCTGAGACACCTGGGGTTTCCCATTTCCCTGCCACCTGGCCCAGAGCAGCCTCTCTGCTTGCTGAAACCCTAACTGTCCATCAACCTCAAAGACCCTCCCTCCTTTAAGAAGTCTCCTGACTCCCAGGAAGGCTATGTCTTCTCTCCTGCAAGTGCCCCGAGGTTGGCACTAGTTTGCCGTCTGGCCAATGGGGTTACTTGTCTGCAAATGCAGGCCTTGTCTGCCCACCTTGGTTGTAAGCTCCCCGGGGAGGCCATGTGCTCAGCAAGCAGATGAGATGTAGCACCTGGCACAAGCCTTGCACACGCAGGAGCGAGGAGGCACGTTAGCCTCAGGAGTTGGAAGGGTCAGGTACTGACGGCCTCCAGGAGACAGGTCCAGGACCAAGGGCTGCTGTTCCCAAGCGGCCTTTCTGCTTGCTGTCCTGCCTCCCGCCCGACAGTGCTGGGCATGGAGGCTGGAAGTGCCAAGGACCGGCCCAGGGCAGAGCCACAGTGCCTGCAGTGGTGGTGGGGGGCGGGTGGGGGAGAGGCTGGAGCATGGTGCACGCTCCGCCCCAGGGACTGGGCTCAGTCTCCTACCTGCTTGGAGTCTCCCCTACACCTCAGCCAGCATCCCTGGGGTAGGGGGATCCCCAAGCTGGGGAGGTACCCATGGCTCCTCCCATAGTGTCTGGGTTCATGAATAAAGGAAGGTCAGGGAGGTCAGCTGACTTGCCCGGGCCTGCGGCTAGGGAACCCACATCTTTGGAGCCCAGGCCAAGGTTCTTCCCCACGGAGAGTGCGCTCAGGCAGGTGACAGCCTCTCCTCTCTCGGACAGGTCTGGTGACAGCCTTCAAGGTCGCCACGCCGTATTCCTTGTACGTGTGTCCCGAGGGCCAGAACGTCACCCTCACCTGCAAAATCTTGGGCTTGGGCCCCGTGACCAAAGGGCACGACTTGTCCTTCTACAAGACATGGTTCCGCAGCTCACGGGGCGAGGTACAGGCCTGTTCTGACCGTCGGCCTATCCGCAACCTCACGTTCCAGGATCTCCACCTGCACCACACTGGCCACCAGGCCGCCAACACCAGCCAGGACCTGGCCCAGAAACATGGGCTAGAGTCGATCTCCGACCACCACGGCAACTTCTCCATCACCATGCTCCACGTGACCCCGCTGGACGGCGGCTTCTACTGCTGCCTCGTGGTGGAGATCAAGCACCACCACTCGGAGCAGAGGGTCTACGGAGCCATGGAGCTGCAAGTGCAGAGCGGTGAGGGCTGCTTCCACGGGCAGCTTGGGGGTGGTGCCCCTGGGGCGATGGTGTGTGTGCCCACACGGAAGGGGAGGCAGAGACGACAGGGTGACCAGGGGTGTGGTGCTGGGTATTCGATGGGGTGACTGTGTGGGATACTGTGCTGGAGGGTGTGCGATTCTGCAAGGGTGGCAGTGGCACTCCGGGGCTGTGGGAGGTGAGGTGGCCGTGCGTGTGGAGCTGTAAGTGCCTCTGGTCAGCTGGGTGTGATGGAGGGAAGGTCCACGCGGCTCTTTAATGGAAGAGTGGGTATGAACCTGGGCTGGGAATGTGACTGCTCACGACGGTACCATGACCGCGCAATGTGACCTGGGCTGTGAGTTGGTGAATGGTCAAATGACTATTGGGGAATATGTATACGCGAGTGTCCCTGTCCAGGTGAGAGTGCGGGGGGGCCGTGGACTGGTCAGAGGCGTGAGCATGGGCAGGTGTCCACATGCTGCTGGGGTGGCATGCGAATGGGCAGGACATGCTGGCTGTGCCGTGAGAATATGTTTCTGTGTGCGTGTGTGTGCGTGTGCGTGCAAACGTGTATGTGTGCACGTGTGTGTGTGCGTGCACGTGTGTGTGCGCACGTGCACATGTGTGTGCGTGTGTGCACGTGCGCGTATGCGCAGGTTCCACCTGGGCCGATGCGATTAAGTGGACAGCAGCATCAGTAGCTGTGACAGGAAGGGGCACGCCGGCCTGGACAAGCCTCCCTGGCCCCCTGGGCCTGACACCCACCTAACAACCCTCTTTGCTCCCACAGGTGATGAAGCACCACCCAAATGCATCGCGTACCCATCCTCCCCCAGGGAGAGTGAAAGTAAGGACCGTCCTCTTGCCCCTTCTGGGTTCTCTCTTCCCCTCTGTCCTCCTGCACCCAGGCTCTGTTCTAAACTCTGACCTCATCACCTCAAGCCCATGGAACCCCCATTCTTCCTCCTCTGCTGCTGCCCTCCCTTTTGCTTCTTCCTTCACCTGAGCCACGGGTTGCAGCCCTTAGAAGCCTCCTCCCCTTCCAAGGCCCAAAACCTGACAGCAGGTTCCCAGAGCCCCTGCTCCTGCCGCCCTGGGTGGGCCTGTACCCTGGCCATGACCTTGGGCTAGTGTGCCCATGACAGGTGCTGCTGAGCTTGTTTTCTGAGTGGGTCCCCCTCCTGCCCACCAGCCCTCTGCCACCTGGGAACTCCTTAACTTTTCCTTGTTCTCTGCGTGAGGGAGGGAGGAGGGAGAGGCTCAAGAAGGGGGCGGAACTACCTTTCCTGGAACCCCTACTGTGTGCCAGCCTGTGCTAAACCCTTCCAAGTGCGGGTCTCTCAGTGGATTCTCCTAAGAACCCTGAGGCATGACATGGAAACGGAGGCCCAGAGAGGCCACTTGACTTGCCCAAGTTCACACAGCCAACAAGGCTAGCGCAGCTGGGATTGTGCTTACTTCACCTGCTCCCCAGCTGAGGGGCATGCGCAGTGCAGTGGGGAACAGTCGCCTGCTGTCTGCCCTATGGAGTGAGGGGACACTGCCCTAAGGGGCACCTGGGCACTCAGAGACCAGGCCAGAATGCCCGGCAGCTTGGAGACCGCAGGCAAAGGGGCGACATCTTTGGAGCACCCCGCTCTTCTGAGAGGAGAGGGTCTTGGCTTCCGCAGCCTCCTACCCATCAGTATTTATTGGGCATCCAGTGTGGACCAGCCCCTGCCCAGGCCCTGGGAGCAGCTCAGCTACAGCCTTAGTCAAGCCCCAATGCAAAGGTTGCCACGGCTTTCTACTTAAACTACTTTTTTAAATTTTAACAACAACAAAAGACTAGCTAGGAACAAAATTAGAGCTCACATTTTGGTCTGAGCCAGACCCATGTGGAGTTAAGAAACTCTGGTTCAAGCCCCTCTCCCTGGTATACCGCAGAGCTCACATGTCACTCAGCACCAAGACACGATCGTCCTCACTTCCTCCACCAGCGACTCCCTGGTGAGGCTGGAGAGGGGCCTCTGAGTGGCTCCTTCCTTCCCACGCAGCAGCCTCAAGACTGTGCAGGCACACATGCCTGTGTACAGGACGGGGTACGCTGCACCTGGCGAGGTCCATGAGTGCTCACTTCCCCACTGCTCCTTGCACTCTGAGCAACTCCCAGCCCACTTCTCCCTCCAGGAGCTCCTGCAGAACTCCCTAGCGACAGTCACTTCCGCTACTTTCCCAGTTCACGGGTGGGGAAACGGTTCCAGCAGGTGAAGGGACACGCTCACGGTCTCTCAGACCCAGAGCCAAGAGGAGATGCCAGAGTGCCTGAGTCCCAGTGCGCAAACCCTGCCTGCGTGCTGGGCTGCCCTCCCCTCTGTCAACACCAATTTTCTGAAACTAGTTGTGGGGGCAGAGACAAGAGATGTCAGAGGGGACAACGCTTGAGAAAGCAGGTGCCAAATGGAGAGGGAGCTGAAATTGGGCTCATTTTTCTTGCTAGAGAAGCAGCTGCTAGACTTGGGGGATCAGAAGTCAGTTGGGAAATGTCAGGAGACCAGCTGATAAGAGCTGATAAGAGCCAGAGGGTGAGGCAGAACCCTGAACTTGACTGCCAAAAGTGGGTCAGGCTTCCTTTGCTGGCACCCTGCTCTCAGGTTTTAACACTGCCTTCCTCTCTAACTCACGGGTGTGTGCAGCCTCACCTTAGCCCCTGTTTCTGAGCCACTGCCCACAGTTAACTGGCTCCCTGAGGGCCAAGGGACATGTATGTTTCTCCCCGCTGTTGAGTGTGGCTTCCACAGCCTCCGCATCCCCTTCCAATCCCCTTCCAGACTCTTGGTTCTGGAGGTCTGGAGATTACAGCTGTGGCGGAGTCTTGGCATTGTGGCAGGTGTTGTCTCAGATAAGAAAAAACCCAGCTATCCTTTCCGGTGGGGTGTGGGGGGGATGTCCATTCTCTGGGGGACCATGTGTACACTGAGAAATGGGATCAGGTGTCTCTCTCCTAAAAAAAGGGGAACAAATCAATGTTATGTAAGAAACTAGTTCAGGGTTCAAAAACTCAAATGCCTGCAGGGCCAAGGAGCTGGTGAAGGATACAGTAGGGAGGGCGGAGACTGTGGCTGGCACCCAGCTGCCAACCTGTAAGTGCAATTCCAACGGTGGCACAACAGGAGGGGGGCCCAGGGTTGGCAGAGCCACTAAATTTTCAAGCAAAGTGAGAAGTCCAGATTTTATGCAAACTCTTAGCTTAAAATATGGAGTTCATTCCCGTGAAGGGCAGTCCGGGGAAGTGCTTAAGTGCTCAGACCCTGACATCAGCCACGCTGCTTAACCTCTCTGTGCCGTAGTTTTCTCATCTGTCAAACAGGCATGATTGCAATTGCACTTACTTGCCAGGCTGTTACAGGGCTAAAATGAAGCTCTATATGCAAAGTGCTAAGAACCATGCCTGGCACAGGGTAAGTGCTGGCTATTAATACTTGTAATGCAGAATCCTCGGCCTGGCTTCCGGAGTCAACCCGCCCATCGCCCTGTGCCAAGGCAGGATGGCAAGTAGATGGCAGCGGACAGTGGGCACATCCTGTTTTCTAACGGCTTAGAAACATCTGCCTGGTGACCCAGGTGCTCAGTGGGCCCCACTTCCCTGTGGAAAGATCCCAGCCCCGGCCCTAGGTCAGGTGCCCTCAGCCAGCTTTGGTACCTGGTCAGCCAATAACGCTTCCAGCCAAGAGGCCCTTGGCATTTCCTCCTCTAAGCCGGCCGCAGCCTCCTGTTATCTTTGGGAAGTAGGAGGGGAGCTCGTCCATGAAACCATCTGAAAGCCCAAGTCAGCCTGAGGTCAGGGACGTAACGAGGAAGGAGACTGAGGAAGTTGGTGCCCCCAGGAGCCCCCGATTGCTACGGGCTTGTGGTTTCTCACCCACCCCAGGGAGGGGGGCTGGGCAGCCCATCTCCCTTCCCCTAGAAGCAACCTCCCTACCCTTCAGCATAGTCGGAGGTTTTGGTTTGCTTTCATCCAGCCCCCTCCCTAGGGAACCAGGCAGCCCACCCCAACTCCCTCCTCTATGTATACCCAGGGGGCCCCTCCCATGCCATCCTGCTCTGTAATAGTCCTGGGTGCTGGCCTGCCAGCTGCCTCTGCCAATGTCTGATCGCCTTCCCAGGATGAGCCTGACTCTAGATGGCTGCTGAGCAGGAACCCCCTCCCCCAAGTACTGGCTATGCGTGTGGGGAGGGGTGGGGAGCTGTAGCGAGGCTATGCCCTCTATGCAGGGACTCCATGGATTCAGAGGGCAGCTGGGTCCACAGAACTGTCTCTAAACTCATGCGGCACCCTCTCCTCCCCCCCCCCACCCCCACCCCCGCCCAACCCATCCAGTCCCAGCCTTAACTCTCAGACCAGGTTGTAAGTCAACCGAGCTCTGATCCCCTAGCGGGGCTGCAGATGGAACACCTTTGCCTGGGGACAGGAGTCAGGCAGGGAGGCCGGGCCAATAGGGAGCCGGAATTAATGAGAACCCGACTAACCTCATCAAAAGGTACTTAGTACCAATCGGAGGAGGCCTGCTTTGATGACTAGAAAAGAGCACTTCGCAGCCTGCCTCTCGGATGGTGCCTTAGCAAGGTCCCGTGGAGGGGTTTAGAAATATTCTGACATCTGAGTTAGAGAATGTTTTCACTTTCAATATTCCACTTGGAAATGCAGCCTCGCTGAGATCTGCGCGGGAGCCTGCTTTAATGTGACGTCCAGCCGGCTTTGTAATTAGCATAGGCCCTGTTCCTGCCCCAGTGGGTAGTCTGAAGCGCCTGAAAACACTTTGTTCTCTTCTGCGGTGTGAACCGAGCCCTGAAAGCTTGTTTACACCATTGGGTTGTTGAGCAATACAATGAGGCAAAAACAGCCCTCATTCCAGAGAAACAGTGCAAAGGCAGCCGGAGATCGCAGCCCACACACCTTCCCAAAGCTCCCTGGCTCCACGTGGACACTGTGACCAGCCATCCTGCCTATATTTTGGGAAGGGCTAAAATCGGGAAGGAAACGCTTTTACGCTGGTTGTGGTTCTGAGGGCGCGTCTGTTCCCAGCTGAACTCCTGGAGTCAGCAGACAGACGAAAATAAAGCAAACCTCTCACGCAGTTGGTGGGACTGCGAAGCAGCACAACCTTTTCGGAGGGCAGCTTAGCAATAGACGCAAAGAAACTGCACGCAGGCTTTGGCTCAGCACCTTCGCTGCTAGGAACTGCTGTACATGCGCTTGCCCGAGGGAGCAAAGGCGCACACGCGGATGCATTGCTACATTATTGGCTGAAAAATGGAAGCGACCTCCACGTTCACCACAGGGGGCTGTTTCAAATACACTTGATAAAGCCCGAGGCAGAACAAAGTCGATCTTTGTGCCAATACAGATGTCCATGCGATGCTAAGCAGGAAAAACAATTGTCCCATGAAGAGCATATATCTCTGCTGTATGTGCAGAGAGCATATCTAAACCATACACAAAAACGGCAGACACTGCTTACTTCTTTGGAGGAAGAAACTTTAAAATATATGTATTTTCAATTTAAACGTTTTTGTCATTTAGAAAGTTTAAAATTTAAAAATGCCAGAGAAAGCCCTGGCTGGGTGGGTCAGTTGGTTGGAGTGTCTTCCCATATACCAAAAGGTGGTGGATTCAATTCCTGGTCAGGGCACATCCCAGGTTGAGGGTTTGATCCCTGGTCAGGGCACATGTGGGGGCAACCGATCGATGTTTCTCTCTCCCCTCCCTTCCCCTTTCTCTAAAATCAATAAAAAATAACTATTAAGGAAAAAAGTCAACAAGGATTCATGTTTCTCTAGTTCTCGCTCCACAGGCTTCACCCTGGAGCTAAGGGGTCTCTTGGGAGATGGGTGAGGCTCTTTATTCATTTATTTTTTATAAATGAATAAAATGGCAAAACATAAACCTGGCCACTTTAACCACTTTTAAGTGTATGATTCAGTGACATTAATTATGCTCCCAGGTAGTGCAACCATTTACACTATCTCCAAAAGCTTCTCATCACTTGGGCTCCATTTGACCTTGAACTCGGTGGCATGGGGTCAGTGAAAGGCCTACTCTCCCCGGTGGCCCCGGGAAGTTGCGCGACCCCCATCTGGCTGAAGACCCTTCTCTCTCTTCCCGGAGCTTCCTCAGCTGTAGGCACCTGGCTGAATTTCTGTGTCCTCTGGGGAGAAGGCATGCGGCTCGCAGGGGGTTCCTAGAACGTCCACGCCTCCGCGGTCACGGAGGGTCTGGCTATGAGACCCCGGGTGCGGGGGGTCCCTCTGCTGCCTGGCCTTTCCTCTCTGGGCTTCAGCTTCCCTTCAGGAGGAACGGGCCTCACCTTGGCTGCATCTCTGCCCTTTCAGACATCACGGCTGCCGCCCTGGCTACGGGCGCCTGCATTGTGGGCATCCTCTGCCTCCCCCTCATCCTGCTCCTGGTCTACAAGCAAAGGCAGGTGGTCTCCAACCGCCGTGAGTATCCCTGCCCTCCTGGGATGGGTGTGGGGGGTGTGGCAGGCACAGTCCTCTGTCCAGAGATGGGAGCTGCTGCAGCCCAGCAAGGAGCTGAGCTCAGTGGTGGAGAGGAGGGACTCAGAGGTGCCACTTCCAGGGCCTAAGTGCCCAGCAGCCCCAGCGGTGCTGGCTTGGCCCTCAATAAATATCTGTTGATGAATGAGTAATCATATGGAGCAGTTGATTTATAAAAATGGGCTTATAAAAATGCTGCCCCTGAGAGCTCCTTTGGGGGCCTGCTTTAATGTATAGGTGAGCTTGTTTTGTTACTAGCATTGCAATCTTGGGGACAAAAATGACCTTTGGATTATCATAACTAGGCGAGATCTTGGCGGTAACTTAGATCAACTCTTTCTTTTTATGCCTGAGAAGCCTAAAGTCTGCAGGGTTAAGTAATTAACCAAACGCCACTTAACTTAGTAAGTAGCAGAGCTGGGACTCAAACTCAGAGCTTTCAACTCACGCTTTTCCCAGGGAGTAAAATCTCACCTTCTAATACAAACGTTCATTAGCATGAGCGCCATAGCCAACAACCCCTACCTGGCAAGGCTGCTGTGCCCGGGACCCTGCCAAGCTTGTTATAGACCTTCTCTCACTTATTCCTCAGAATGATTCTCAGAGTTTGGTCTTTCCATTGTCCCCATTTTACAGCTGAGCAAACTGAGGCACAGAGAGGTTAGTAACGCACTTAAGGAACTGCATAGCGAGAAAAGTGGCAGAGCCAGACTCCAAGTCAGGGCCACTGACCCCTTGGCACAATCCTCTGCAGGTGACAGTGCCCTTTGCCCTTGTTATGACCTCACCCTTGGTCAGTCTGAGTCCTCCAGGAGCAGGAGAGGGGGATCCCTCTGCCCCTGACCCTTGCATCACCTCCCCTAGCCCTTCCCCTCTGCTTGGCTGCAGAAGGTAGCCGAGGGGAACTGCTGTCACCAGGTGGCTGGGGCTCACACATGCTTTCCTTTGGTTGGGCTGTAACAGCTCACACCCCTCTCTCCTGGGGGCCCGGCCTGGAACGCCACTGCGGGTCACTCAGGCTGTGGCCTCCCTCTCTCCTAGCTCACAAAACCTACCACAACCTGCCTACAAAATACCCTGAGGTGGGGGTGGGGGAGGTAACGTGTTTGGAGCAGAAAGAGGAAGCCAGGGGCTCAACCAGGAAGAGAAATTGCTGCAGCGCTGCCAGCAGCTCCCGTCAGCTGGGCAGCATGTCTACGAAGGTGGGTGAGGGACCAGGAGAGACACATGCTCTGCTAGGCTCAGCTCCAGATACAGAGGTGACTTCTGGCCCCCTCACTCCAGACTACGGTGCTGCCTCCCCTGGGGAACAGGAACTGGGAAGCAGACTCCAGGCAGAGGATGTGGGGCGGGGGCGCTGTTGTTCCTGCTTTTGTTTCCTCAGCGCCTTCCTCGCCTTCCTCGCAGGGTCCCCAGAGGTTGGTTTGAGACTCCTGCCCATGGTCCAGGCTGGAGGGAGGGAAGTCAGAGAGGGGACATCCCCAGGCCAGAGCCCTGGTGTCCTGAGGGTGTGGGGACACTGGGGTCAGCCCCCAGTATCTTCTACTCCACACGCCAGAACACCTGAGGGCTTCCCAGACGAAGGGACCAGGAGGGGACAGATGAACTGGATGCTGGAGAACTGGACTGACTGAAGGAATAAGGGGGTACACTGGGCCAACGGCGCTGCGCTATCACCACTGTTGAGCACGTCCTCTGAAACGCCAAACGAACCCCATTTCTGTGTTCTTAGCCATTTCGTAGCATCTTATCCCTCAGTGTAATATATGCCATAACAGAAAGGTGTCAATAATTTATCTTCTAATGAAAGTATATTTGAAGCCAGTCCCTCCACCCCTTCCAAAAAGAAGAAATGAGTTGTAGGACTGAAGTCTTTGGAGACAGACACAAGAGAGGCCGGAGGGGGCGATGCTGAGAAAGCAGGTGCAAACTGGAGAGGGAGCAGAGACTTGGGTCATTTTTCTTTTTTAATCCTCACCTGGGGATTTTTTCCATTGGTTTTTAGAGAGAGTGGAAGAGAGAGGGAAAGACAGAGAGAAGCATCAATGTGCGAGAAACACATCGATTGGCTGCCTCCTGTACGAGCCCAGACCAGGGCCTGGGTCGAGGAGGAGCCTGCAGCTGAGGTACATGCCCTTGACTAGAATCGAAACCAGCATCCTTTGGTCTGCAGGCTGATGCTCTATGCACTGAGCCAAACCCGCTAGGGCTGGGTCATTTTTCTTGATCTAGACTCTAGAGAAGTGGTTGCTGGGATTAAGGGAACAGAAGTCACGGGGACATGCAGGAGTCGAGCCGCAGGGCAAAGGCTGAGGGGCCCAGGCTTGGCGCAGAGCCCCACTCAGGAAAGAGGGAAGAGGAAGGGCCGGGAGCACAGGAGGGCCGTTTGCTGCAAAGGCTGATGGGTGTGGAAGCCGACCCAGTATGAGAGGGAGGCTGGTTTCCCCAGGTCTGAGGTGGGACTGCCAATCCTTACCCTAAAGCAGCGGTTCTCAACCTGTGGGTCGCGACCCCTTTGGCGGTCGAACGACCCTTTCACAGTGGCCGCCTAAGACCATCCTGCATATCAGATGTTTACATGACGATTCATAACAGTAGCAACATGACAGTTATGAAGTAGCAACGAAAATAATTTTATGGTTGGGTCACAACATGAGGAGCTGTATCTAAAGGGAGAGAAGGTTGAGAACCACTGCCCTAAAGGGTGGAGGGCAGGACGAGCTGAGGACCAGAGAGAACCCACAGGAGGCCTGACGCACAGGAGTCCCCGGTAAACAGTAGCCATGATTCCCACACCGCAGAGGTTTCGGGAACTTTTGTGCAACTTCCCTGTGCCTTCTGCTGTCGTGCCCCTCCCCCATCATCGGTTTCCCCATAGTCGTCGGCAGTAAAGCCCTTAAAAATGAGAAAGATCGTGGGAGTACATGGGGAGCTGCAAGAAAGAGGGAAGTTGGGGCCACTGCATTTGGCCGGTGTGTAGTTTGGGGGGTGGGGCAGGGTGGCAGCAGCTTGGATGAGGAGCAGAAAGTGATGGAATGGCTGAGAAGTGACGGGGTCTCAGGGCCCCTAAGATTGCTCTAGGACAGCGGCCGCCAACCTTTTGGACCTCACGGACCACCAGTTGGCGACGGCTGCTCTAGGAGATGTCACCTCTGAAGCCACCCTATTATGCAACGTGGAGGATGGGCCTCTCTGTCTTTCTAAACAGGAATTGACCTTGCAACACTCCCACCCAGTAAATCATGGATAAAGACCAGACCGTGGCAGGGGTCCAAATAGGAAATAGCAAATTCAGGAGCCAGGCCGTGGTTGATACTTAAGCCCTGAAGGTCTAACACAGCCTAAGTCACGCCACAGGAGAAAGCATGGGTGCCTTTGGTCTCTGGTGACAAAGGTTGTCCCACACACTGTGAAAGGCAGCCCGAGTTTCGTTTGTCACTGGTCAGACGTGCCGCTCACTGCTCAACACCCAGAGGGCAGCTGTATGGGCCTCCTGAGCGAGCAGGTGTGGGACCTCGGCCCTGCCTGGGCCTGCTCCCTTCCCCCCGGGGCATCTGCCGGCAGGGGCAGGGATGTTGTCTGGGGAAGCCTCCCTTTTGTGACCAGCTTCTCTGTCTGTCCCTAGGTGCCCAGGAACTGGTGCGGATGGACAGGTAAGGCTGGTGGAGACCTTCCGGAAAACTGACCATAGCTGCCTCTACCCTGACTCACAGCTTGACTCACAGGGCTTGTGGCCCTGTGGGGCAAGTGTCTACACCCAAACTGTGGGGGAAGTTAATGCAGAAGGGGTGGGGCAACATCCAGCCAAGACTGACTCTCCCCACTTCATCAGGATCCTTTCTCCCCTCTTTCCTGGGCCCGGATGCCAGGACAGGGGTCAGAACACAGACAGGGCCCCCCTGGCCCTCCCTGTGCCCTGGGCCAGCTGTCAGGAAGGAGGTATTTCTGGGCAGTAGGGGGCCTTCTCAGCGGCCGAGCACAGCTGTTTAGAAGAGCATCTGCCATCTGCCACCGAGGCCTACACATCTGTGCGGGTTGGCTGTTCTCCCTGCCACCCCTCACCCAGCAGGCTGAGCTCCTAGACTGTTAGGATTAACCATGCTCCCACCATCAGGTCTCAGTGGTCAGTGGGCTGGAGTGGGGGAGGAGGAAGCAGCAGCTGAGCTGAAACATGCAAAGAGGCCAGCACACCTGGAGCTGGGGCCCCTCCCTGCAAGGCACTCCAGAGAGAGAGCTGTCAGGCCACTGTCCCTAAGGGCAGAGGCTGTCTGGGCTCAGAGTGGGGCAGGAGGTCGGGGCGGAGAGGATAGGGGAGTGTGTGCTGGTGCGCCCTGGGCAGAAGCTGGCCTTGTAGACTGGCATGGAGGGCGTGCTCAGGAACAAGCCACACTCAGGAACTGGCCCTGGTACCTGCTCCTCTGGGTGTTTGTAAGGGATGATTTTCAGGACTGGTCGAAGGAAGCCCTGCTAGTGATCCTGCTAGAGTCTCAGGTTGGAGGAGTCTTTAGAGGTTGTCCCGTTCCAAAGAAGGAGGAGGATAAGAAAAGAGGACCCCTCCCTTCAGCTGTGGGGACACTCAGTCCTAATGCCATTGACTCTATGACCAAAGAGCAGCGTGTCCCCAGATTCCTGAGGCTGGTGTCCTGGAAGCGCTTCTGACCCTGGGCATCCTGGCAGGGCCGAGGGCCATGGTCAAACCACAGGGAGGAGTTGGCATCAGATGCCCTCCGCTCAGGGCAGGTGGGAAAGTGCAGCCCATGGCCTTTTCTCTCTGGCCCTGGATCTCCCTTCCTCTGGGAGAGGCTGCTGGGGCCTGGAGTGGGAAGGCCAGTGACGGGAAGGGAGCAGAGAAAGCGGGCCGATGGGGAGGGCAGAGGCGCGAACCCCAAGGCAGCAGAGATGACCTTCGGTTCTGATTCCCTGGCAGCAACGCTCAAGGAATTGAAAACCCAGGCTTTGAGGCCTCTCCGTCCTTCCACGGGATGCCGGAGGACAAGCCCAGGCCTCCACTGACCTACATGGCCCAGCGGCAGCCGTCGGAGTCTGGGCGCCACCTGCTCTCTGAGCCCAGCACGCCTCTGTCTCCCCCAGGCCCCGGGGATGTCTTCTTCCCATCGCTAGGTGAGTGCTTCCCAGACGGGCAGCGTGAAGGCCTGTGAGGCCATGACCCCCCCTTAACCTGCAGAGTGTCGCCTTACTCTCCCATCCTCCCTGGAGTCCTCCGTCTCCTGGTGGGGCATTGGGGGTGAAGGACGGGGGGGGGGGGGGGCATCCACTCTGCTTCTCCTTTCTTTTGCAGACCCCGTTCCTGACTCCCCAAACTCTGAGGCCATCTAGACCAGCCAGGGGCCAGTGAGCAGCTGTGGCTGGGCCCGGGGCCAGTGCATTCGGGCCAGACTGGCCCTCGGAGTATTCCCTTGGCCGTGGCCCTGGCTTCTTCCCTCCTGCTCTGAGCACAGACTCGTTGAGATACCCCTGACGGCCAGGTTCTTAATCCCTCTGGATGCTACAAGGCAGAAGTGAGAAGGTGTGGATCACTCAGCTCCGATCTCAAGAATGGCGGGGTGTGGGGATCCCGCCGCAGAGACCTGAAATTCACCAGCTACAGACGCCAAATGACCTACAGCCTCAAGCCCCAGAGCTCCCGCTCTGTGGCAGCCGCTCAGGGACATGAGCCTTGGGACTCGACAGGACAGCGGGGACAAGATGGGCACTGAGCAGACCCCGCAGTGCCGCCCTCCCTGGAATGAGACACCGACCAGATGTGGAGGGAGTCTTCTCTACCCCACTGTGTTGGACCGGCTCCCCCATCTCGTCTGAGGCTGCTCATCTGTCAGGCTCACTCTTTGTAACCATGGGGCTCAGAGCTAGGCCTGCCTGTCCTCAGGGCCCTGGGAGCCTCCCCAACAGCCTCCTACCAGTAACCTCCCCTAGGAGCTGTCAGCAACTGAAAGAAATCTGGGGCTCCCACTGCCTGCACTCTGGTCTCCAGAGTTCACTGGCCAGAGGCCCCAAAACAGGAAGTACTCGTTGGGGCACGGAGGCCATTGTGAGCCAACTGGCATCTTGGGCAATGGAGGCCGGGCCCAAGGTTGCTCACTACCCCAGGTGGGGGTGAGGGAGAGCCCCGGGCCTGCTGGGAAGTGAGTGGAGAGGGCTCCATTCGCCCTGTCTTCCCCATCGCCCTCCTCCACTGCTCAGTTTGGCCAATAGAAAGGGTGACCGCAGACTGTACTGTCCAAACTGTGACACTTTTGAGTGAAGAGGGCATTACTATTAAAGAGCTCATGGGCAACAGGTGCAAACCGTGTGGCAGACTGTAGGAGCCGGGTTTAAATCCCTGCTCTGTCTGAGGTGCCCGAGGCCTCGGGAGCCCCCACGCCTTGCTCTTCCATTCCATTCCATCTGCCCAGCTGCAGAGGGACCCTGTCGGGTGGGAGGAGCAGGATGCGTCCATAGAAGGTTTGTGTCCACTCTGCTCAGTACCCTCTGTTCCCACCTCCTGTTGCAGGCTTGACTTGAGTTTGTTCCTGTACACATATGCCAGGGAAGTCCTTTGTGGACTTTTGATGAAAGGGCTGTAAAGCATGGAGAGAGTGTGTGTGTGTGTGTGTGTGTGTGTGTGTGTGTGTGTGTGTGTTGGCGGGGGGGGGGGGGGGGTTGGGCGGGGAGTGTGTGCCTGTACACTCTGGGAACAGGGAGGGGTGAGTTGGAGCTGAGTGGGAGCCCTAGGCACTGACTGCAGCTTCAAATGGGCATTCGTCTGCCAGCAGCTACCCTGACTCTGCTGAGCTGGGCCTGGGCTGGAGAGCCGGGACAAGGGCCAGGACAAGGGCCAGTGGGCAGGGAGACTCTGCCTGATCACCTGGCAGGGGTGGGAGAAAGTGAGCTGCAGGCCTGCGGCTGGAACCAGAGAGCCCCCTGGATGCACAGCATTGCTCCCAATGTCCCCTGGTCAGGCCCAAGGGTATAGGCCAGTGTGAGCGCCTGCTGTGCCGGGGGCCCTGAGGAAAGGGTGAACATGGGCCTTGAGAGTACCCTGACACCTCCAACGGCCAGACCACCACAGCCCAGGCGCCTGCTGTGCCCCTGGGGGTCCTTCTTCTGGTCCATCTGCTGCCATGAACACTCAGTGCCCGTTGCCACAGGAAGAGGGTGCTGTTTTCACACCTGGGGGGGGGGGCATGGGAATGAGCAGGGTGACACCTGCTTGAGGCAGGGCGGGGCTGCCCCTAGCGTAGGACAAGCCCATGGATCGGACTCCCAGTGCCCCCCCAGAAAGAGTGCGCCTGTCCTGCTGGGAGGCTGGCTTTGCCCAGCCCTCAGCTTCTGACCTGGAGGCAGAGATAACTTCTAAGAACTTGGCTGCCAGACCCCAGGCCTGACTGCTGCAGTGTGGAGGGAGGGAGGAGGCCCCAGAGCAGAAAGCCACCACACTTCCTCTCTAGCTTCCTCCTGCATGGCCTCGAGCCCTTCTTCTCTGGACCTTTACAAAAGTAAGCATCTCAGCTTCGTGGTTTCCTGTTTTCAGTGAAATTTACTCTGAGCTCCAGGCTCCATCTTGATCCATGACCACACGCCCCACCCCCAGGGGCCCTACTGTTTACTCCCTGTAGTTGACAGGGAGGGGCGGGTGCTAGAATAGAAAGAAGACCATGCAACCCTGTGCTCACCCCTGGGGTGGTGGTGCGTCTGCAGATGCCAACCCTGGTGGCTGGTCCCTATGGGCCCTGGCTCAGCACCTGTGAGCTGGGGTGCATGGATCAGAGCAGGGGAATGGGAACAAGGTGTGTGCCTCCAAAGGAGCTGGGAGGAGCCTGTGGCCTCCAGGAAGTCGCCTGCAGGGTAGGACTGAGGCTGGAGGCTCAGGGGTCCTGACAGTATCTGGGGCCCTGGGAGAGAAACCCATGTTTTTAGGCAGTAAGTCATTGTTAAGAGATATACAGTCAAACCTCGGTTCTCGAGTCTCCCTTCTCGAACAATTCGGTTCTGGATCAATTTGTTCACAGGAAGAAATGTCTCGATTGTGGAACAAAATTTTGGTTTTGACCTGACAACCCTTTCATGCTGATGCCTCAGCATCACAAAAAGCGTCTCTCAGGCAGCAAAGGAGAGAATGCTTTTGTTGCTGGAGAAATCGAAGATGAGCACAGTTTTAAACAAAAAGAAGCCCTCCAGAGCGCCAGTGTTGCTAAGGGCGTGACAGCGCTCACAAAACAACCACCACAGGCCATTGAAGAGGGAGAAGAACTATTGCTGATTTGGATAAACAAAAGCAGTGAGTGGGTGATATATGAAGAATTCATTTAAGGCTAGTAGGGGTGGTTAGATTAAGAAGTGTTTATTTGTAGATTATACAGTACATTGGACATGGACTACATATAAGAAAGGTTAAAATGGAATCCTTTGGGGGTCTGGAATGGATTAATTCAATTTACATGGTTTCTAATAGGAAAAAATGATTTGGTTTTCCAACAAATCGCTTCTCCCACAGCCTGCTGGAACGAATTAAAAGTTTGAGAACCGAGGTTCCCCTGTATCAGGGATTACGGCGGCGCCTGTGAGCCCTCTCCTAACGTTTCACAAAGACCTTCTGCTTCCATTGCCTCCAAGGGAACAGAACTGACACTCCTTGAAAATATGCCACAGAGGCCACTGCAGATGCTGCTGTGGGTCAGACTGGCCCAGCCAGGGGCCCTGGCGGTGGGCACTGGGGCGAACGCGCAGAACCACAGGGCCTGTTTCTCAAAAGACCAATGTTGGGGTGGCCGTAGCTCCTGCCTGGTCAGGGCTCCCTCCTGCATGCAGCAGCCTGGGGCAGAGGGGCTGGCACTGCCCCCTTTAGGGAGTAGTCTGGGGTGGGGACTCTGAAGGACACAGTGGGGCTGGGGCCTGCAGAGGGCCTGTCACCTTCCATCCCAGTGTGGGCGCTGCAGCCCTGCCGTCTGCAGAAGCCTTACTGGGTGTCCGCTGAGGCTGAGCTGCGATTTGCTCAGGGAACACAAGGGAACAGCAATGGGCAGAAAGAGGAACTGGGGCGGCCAGCCAGGATGCTGGGTCCAAAGGCCTCTCGACAAGCAGACACCAACAGCCCCGCTGAGCGTCTGTCCCAGCCACAGGGAGCACCGCTGTCTGGCCTCTTCGCGGTCCCCGCCTTGCACAGCCGCCTTCCTTTCCGCATGGGTGCGGTGGGTTAGGGTTAGGGTGTGAGCTCCAGGAGGGTGGGTGTCCAATGACAGCCTGCCCTTTTGAACTCGGTTACAGAGCTGAGAACTGAAGCACAGCCAGCCACTGAACCGGGCTGTCTGAGTTCTGGCCTCAGGACCACTCGCTCACAATGGGCAGGGACCTCTGACCTGCCACCAGCTCTAGGTCCCAGCTGCTTCGCCTGGGCCTGGTGGAATCTCCTCACCAGCAACCATGCCCTGAGCTCGTGCAGGCCCTGGGGGGAGGGGCTTCCTTTTGCCGCTCGGACCTGTGGGCACAACTTCCTACACTACATGTGAGAGAGCTTCTGAAGTGTCCATGTAGCTTGATGAGAAGGTGCTGACACGGTTAGCAGCGTCTGCCTTGGGCACAGGATGGAGAAGTGGCGGTGTGTGCCACATCTTTGCCTTTGTTTCAATGCTCTGTGCTTCCCAAAACACGTTCACACGTGTTAGTACTTCTTTGATTTCCCCCTCGCCCACCAGGAAGCCCTGAGAGGCTCTACTGTCCCCACTTAATGCATCGGGAAACTGAGGTTTCCAAAGGTTGTGTCTTGTCACAAGTGAATGAGGGGCTGGGGCCAAAGCCTGGCTTCCCTGCTTCCCAGGTTTGTGCTCCTTCCTCTTCATGGAACGGAGTGGCATTACAGGGCAGGACTTGGACTTGCTTACAGTACGTGCCAGGGCCCTGGGAGCAGAGCCTGCGCCCACATGCCCGTGGCTCCACTCCTTCCACATCAGTTCCTGCCACTCTCCTTTCTGCCTGGCAACCCCGAAACGGCAGGACGCCTAGTGGGCGTGGTGCCTCCCACACCCACTTGCTTGCCACGGGGGCTGGGAAGGGAGCAACTCTCGCGAACTGCAGAGCCCGTGTTACCGGGAGGCACTGAGCCAGACGCACGGGCAGCATTTGAGAGGCTGCAGCACATCCTGGAGGAGCAGAGCTAAGGGAAGGGCCAGAGAAGGCCAGGCTGCTTGGTGAGCAGCAGAGGGAAGGGCCCAGGTTGGGGTTTTCTGAGCTTGAGCCGGGGAAGCAGGCTTCCCAAACAGCAGCAGCGTCCACATTTAAAACAGAGAAGAGCCCTCGGCCCTAAAGATATGAGGCGAGCTGCCGAGAGCAGTGTCCCCAGCTCACAGACTTCCATGGGGTGATTGCTGGTGATTTTTGAACCAGAAATAGGTAGATTTTTTTGTCTTCTGCCTGGATAGGTAACTTCTGCAGATCCCCACCTGCCTGGGAAGCTAGGGCTGGTTATCCAGGATTGTCTAACCTGCTGGCTGTGGTCTGCATGGCCAAAGGCCCGGTCAAGCCCTCCCTCTCCTCCTCCCCCTCTCCTCCCCTCCCCCTCCCCCCTGCCAAGGTGCCTCTGTGCCTGGGGCTCAGCTTCTGACCTCCCGGCTGCTTTCTGTCCTTCCTCCCTGGGCCCGGCCCTTCCTCTGGCAGGGGCCTCCCAGAGGGCCACTTAGACCCTCCCCAAGCCTGGCCTCCCTGGCTGTGGCTAGCGGGGACTGAGGCTGTACAATGACTTCTCCTGGCCGGCGGCATATCATTGTGTGATAGGCCTGGGCTGGCCCGGATGCCCCTTGCAGTGCAGCTGTTCCAAGCTCTGGGTGATATGGCGCTGAGAACTGGGCGTGGACGGCCTAGGCTGTTCGCAGGAATGTCCGGCTCTCAGGAAATTGGGGGTGGGGGTGGGGTTGAAGGGTTGCAGGGCCGGGGAGGGGCCGGGGTAGGGAAGAAGAGATGTGAGGGCTCAGTAGAGGATTTCTCTTGTTTTGGGAAGGCCTTTGGTAGCTAAATACTAGGTCCCCTGCTTAGAGATCCTCCTCCTTTAAGACATGGATAGAAATGGTGCCTTGACCCTGGCTGCTGGCTGTGAAGTCCTAGCTCTCTATCACATCACAGAGCGTCCGCTCACTGCTCCATGTCCATTCCTCCCACTAGACTGTAGCTTCTTGAGGGCAGACCCGTGCCCAGCTCATCTCTGACTTCTTAGCCTCTAGCACAGGCCTGGCATGTTTTTGGGAATGAATGAATGAATGAATCTCACTTGTCCCTGTCCTACAGGAAGGTGGTCCTATGCCAGTGGGAACTGGCT